GTAGTTGTTGAACGTGCTTACATGAGTTGATCATTCCTCTCCACAATGTTCATCAAAATTGTTGTGCGAGCACTCAGGCATAATACTCGGTTCCCGATTGTTTTATTTTGCTTCCGCTTCAGTCACTTGACCATATTTTTTCCAACAATTTCATTTTAATATATTTTTTTTTTATAATCTTTTCAAAATCCCTTCCCCTATTCTTAGAACCGCAAATTCAGAAATTTCTCGCTAACTTCTAATTTAGCCGTATTAGGAGTCGGCATTGCCAACAATCCAAGCGAGGTTAGTCGTGTGGCCAGTGTCTCGCTCGAATAACAATTTAATGGGACCCACTCTTTATCTAACCCCCCTTTTCGATGAGTTTACGCCCGAAAGGGAGGCGGGGACTATAGTCTTTACCAAAATTTTAAAGTATAGACACCCTTTAAAGTCAATATAAAGGGTTTGGAAATGCATCGGGGGGATTGATGATATCCGATATATGGGACCAGATGATATCCGATAGAGGTTTGGAAATGCATCAGGGGGATTGACATTGATTGGCTTACCAAGCTATTCAACTAGGTGTTGAGAATAAAAAAAATGCTAGACGAATGGAGGAAACGTATTTTGCTGCCTATTTACAAGAATAAAAGAGACATAAAATTGTGTGGATTATCGAGTGATCAAACTTATGAGCAACACTATGAAGCTGTGAGAGAAAGTGATTGAGCATCGATAAAGGCATGAAACGAGTGTATCATAAAATCAATGAAGTTTTATGTCATAGAGATTAACAACTGAGGCTATTTTCCTACTTAGACAATTGATTGAGAAGTTTAAGATGAAGGGAAGACTTCCACATGGTCTTTATTTAATAGAGGTTTGATTTGGTAGGTGTTGGAAAAGAAAAGAGTCTCAAGATATTACATCAACTTAGTGAGAGATATGCACGAGGAAGCGCTAACTAATTTACGAATAACTAGTAGAGAGACGAGAGAGCTTTTAGTAACAATGTGTCTACATCAGGGGTTAGCATTGAACTCATATCTCTTTGCCTTAATTAAGGATGACTTAACAAGGCACTCACAAGATGAGGTATCGTGGTGCATGTTGTTTGTGGCTAACATAATTTTTATCAATAAGGCCCAAAATGGCGTCAACATAAAGTTAGAATTTTGGAGAGAAGCTCTATAATCTAAATGTTTTAAAAGTAGCTACATTAAGATAAAATATATGAAGTGCAAGTTTTAGTAATAATATGAGTATAAACAGGGAAGTAATTATGATTGACGGCCAAGAAATACAAAAATATTGCACTTTTAATAACTTGGGTCTATAATCTAGGAAAATGGAGATATGAATAAGATGTCACAAATAGAATTAGAGATGGGTGGGTGAAGCAGAGCTATAACAACGATGAGACCATCTTTGTTTCATACGACAGAATGTTGGACAATCAAGAAACAAGATACATATAGAATGTGTGTAGCTGAGATGATGATATTGAGATGGATGAGTAATAAGACAAGAAGGGATATAATTCGAAATGAATACATTCAAAAGAATTTAGATGTGACACTAATAGATTATAAGATGCGAAAAAGTAGACTTAGGTGGACTGACCATGTATGACGCAGATCCAATAGAACACTTATTAGGAGGTGTGAGTTAGTTCAAGTGGAAGGCTAAAAAAATGGCAGGGCCAAAAGGACATGATTGGAAGTAGTGAGAAAAGATATGAGGACTTATGGCCTTACTGAGGGTATGACCCTTAATAGAGTAAAATGACGGACCAGGATTCGTGTAGCCAACCCTAATTAGTTGGAAAAATGCTATGATAATGATGATATTGGCAAACATAAATGTTTTAAAATTAAAAATACTATACAACTTTTAACTATAATAACAAAAGAAAAAGAGAATTTCTTGCCTATTTTTTTTAATTTTTTTTGTATTTTCTAAATTTATTTTCCCAATTACCAAAAATACAAACCTAAATTGCAAAAATAGAAAAAATTGGTATGAAGACATATTATTATTATTATTTCCTTTATGTCCAATTTTTAATGTGCACCAAACATATTTCTTACTTTTCTTTTTAATTTTTGGATTTACCTTTATGTTTAATAGGAATTATATTAATTATTATAAATATAATTAATATTAATAAGCTATATATTTTTTACATGATTATGTAATAAGCAACATTGATACCAAAAATGGAGTCAACAAATAAATTATTCTTTTAACTCTTATATTTAAGAAGAATTACATTTAACACCAAATATAATATATATTATTATTACAATTAATAGAAATATAAGAATATTTTTTAAGAAGAATTATATTTAACGCCAAATATAATATATATTATTATTACCATTAATAGAAATATAAGAATATTTTTTATGCTTATGTATCATGTTATGGAGACTAAAATTTCTTTATATTTTCTTCTTTTATATATATATCTATCTATATATATATATATATATATATATATTGCTGTTTCTATTTCTAAATTTTTCATAATAATATTAATCATAAGTATTAAAATGCAAAAAAAAAGGTTCGTTCTTCTTTTTATACGCATATTTTGCTTGTACTCTTTTCCGTTTTTCAAAATCCAAACCAAATGAAAAAGGAATTACACACTTTGCTACTATATGTACATATGGACCCATCATATTTAATTTCCCTCTCAATAATCTAATATTCTTTTTTAAAAAATATTTTTAGATTAAAAATTTTATTTTAATAATTAATATTATATATCACATGCAACACCTTCTCAATAATCTAATGTTCTTTTTTAAAAAATATTTTTAGATTAAAAATTTTATTTTAATAATTAATATTATATATCACATGCAACACACATACATAACTGCCTGTATAAAGAAAAAAAGGAAAAACAATAGCTAATACCTCTAAAAGCAAAAGAAGTAGAAGAGCATACTGCCTATAAACGGCCTACTGCCTATAAACGAGATACCGTTAATTACATAGAGGGAGCTACATGCCCTTTCCCCTTAAAATTATAGCACAATACTGAATTATGGCAAAAAAAAAAAAAAAATTGCGAATGCAAGATTAAACTAAATTAATCACCACAACCCCAAGGGGTGGTCAAAGTCTTATTATGTTTATTTTTAATTATTTGTGTGCTAAATTGGCATTCTTCTAGTCTCTGGTGTACACAAACAAACAACAGCATTACCATTTGAAATAGACAGAGTATGAGATGGAGACGAGTGGACTGTACAAACTCTTATAAAGGCCGGATCGCATATACCGTAAACCGTGGGAGTAAGCTGTATATTTACTCCCTGGTGTAAGAGTTATTTAGAAGAAGGGACTTATCTGGCATCCCATTTAATAAGAGGATGATTATTTTTAAAAAATAAAATCTAGATTCGACTGCTTCAACACTTAGATTTGACAGTACAATAATTACATTTAGGAAAATATTTTGATATGGATGCAGCCCTAACAAAAAAAAAAAAGTAAAAACCTCATCTCATAGCTATAAAAAATAGTGTTTATTGTAATAAATTATCTAAACTGTCCATTTCGTTGTAAAAATAAATATTAATAGATCTGCAAGATCTTTACTATTTTTACATTTCAAATTTTATTGTAGGCCTTGGAAATTGATTTTAGAAAAAAATACTGTTTATTGTAATAAATTATATAGACGGTCAATTTCGCTGTAAAAATAAGTGCTAATAGATCCGCAAGATCTTTACTATTTTTAAATTTTAAATTTCATTGTAGGCGTTGGAAATTGATTTTAAAGCCATCATAGAGATTGTTCTTGTTGGAAGTGCTTTCGACACGAGGATTTGAATGCTTTCGTAAAGCTTAGGGCCAGTTTGGATACATTCAAAACTGAAATATTATTGAATTGCAATTCAAATATCTTGTGAAATGGACTTTGACCATTCGGACGAGTGCTTGATTTTTGCCATCTTTTTAGGTCGAAAGAAAAAAAAATTCCATACCAAAAATTACCATTCAAAAAATTTAAAATTAGACGTGAATTTTTTCAAATAAAAGTGCGGCCTTTTCCCTCGTCTCCTTCCGCACCTCTTCTGCTCTCTCTCGCTTCACTTTCTCTCAACCCTCTGTGCTCCCTAACTCCTCGTCTCTATGCTCTCTCTCACCTCTCTACTCTCAGTGACAAAGCCCTCTCTCTCTCTTCTTTTTTTTTTGACAAAGTTTAGAACTTATTGATAGCAAAGCAGGTTACAATATAGCAGCACCAAGCCCTCTCTCTCTCTCTCTCACAGTGACAAGGCCCTCTCTCTCTCTCTCCTCTCTCCCTTCTCTGCTCTCAGGAGATTTGGGGTTAGGGTTCGTATCAGTGCTAAGGTTCGATGAATCAGAGCCAGAATCAGGGTTTGGATTAGGGTTAGGATTTTGAGAATGGCCCTCCGATGAAGAAGAAGTGGTTGTGGTTTGAGGAGGAGGAGCGAGAAAGGAGACAACACCATGAAGCTGGCGAGTGAAGGTTTTGGGCAGTTGAGAGAGATCTTCTTTGATGCCCTTTGATGGAGGAGAGGTGGAGTCTATCGTTCATTCTACTGAGGATTGTCAGTCGTCCGTGAAAGGGGAGGCCAGAGACCTTGCAAACCATGACATCTCTCTCTCTCTCTCTATACCTATAAAATCAGAAAGGGAATGGGATCTGAAGGCTCTCTATGTTTTTATCTCTTGAAGAGGATCCGCTCTCTCTCTAAAAGGGGTGTCCAAATTCTCTCTCTAGAAACCCTCTCTCTGTTTCTCAATTCGAGGAGAAGAGGCGAAGCAGAAAAGGGATCTGATAAATGTTTCTTTGCGTTTTGTTTGTTTCGGGGTGCTGGGGCAAAGTGGGCCGCATGGGGCATGCTTCACAACACTTTTGGACTTTTCGACAAATCAATGAAATTAAACATCCAAACACTTTACCGACATAATAAAATAAGATGAGAATGTTTTTCAATTGTGGTGAAAAAATATGCGTTTTGTTCACTGTAATTTTTTTTTTTTCTTTGACATCCAAACTTGCCTTTTAGGCGTCATAAAAACTACATCCAAGACCACAAAACGTAACCTAAGGTACCATAGCTCGAGTGCAGGGCTAGGTTTGGGCCACGACCACAACTGAGCCAGGCCAGACTCTATTTTATTTAACAAGGCCCAACCTGGTAGGGCTAGAACGGGCCCACGGTCCGAGACCCAGGCCTTAGGTTCGGCCCGGCTTAGGGGCTAGGCCAGTTCTTTTTAAGTGTTCAGAGGATATTGCGGCCCCCCTCCGACTTGCACACGTGTCACTGTGCCATTGGCTGGTTGCCCAACCCTACAAATTACGCAATTCAATAAAAAATTTAAGACAAACGGTACGTACCTCTCTCTCCCTGCATGCCGCAATCGTGTCTCATCGCACAGCTCCACTCTCCATCTGCAGCCACCAGACCTTCCTTTCTCTCTCTCTCTAAACCTAGGGTTTCTTCTTTCTCTTTCTATAACATTGCCTCATCTCTGAAACTTCATCTTGTTTTCTTGTTCTTGAGAGAGGAATGGGGCGAAGCAAGAACCAGAGGAACCCTGTGAATGTGTTGTTTGGATGGGTCAGACGGCAATCTGTTAAGGTTAAGTCCTTTTTGGGCGTGACCGCTGCTCTTTTTTCCCTATTTTTCTTGTGGCTCCTGGTTCGCGACCATGATCACTTGTTCGTGGCTGCTGAAATCGTTCATGCAATTGGGATCGTGGTCCTCATCTATAAGCTCACCAGGCAAAAGACTTGTTCTGGTAAGCACTTTTTCCTCCTCTGCTTTTGTGTTTTTAAGCTTTTGAAATAAGCATTTATTAGGATTTTTTGCCAGTTTCTATTGAGCGGGAAATGTGCTCTGTTTGATGAAGCTTTCGATTATGTTCTGAATTTTTTTTAATTTTTTTTTGAGCAAGTTAGGTGGTTACTGATTTATGGAGAATGGGGATTGGCAGTTTGTTATTGGTTGAAGTAAATTGTTTTTACATATTTTATTTTAGTCTATCTTGTCATATCAGGAAAATAAGTAGCTTGCAAGGAAAAGTAAAGATCTGATTTTTGGATGTGATTTCTATAGATATTGGTATACTCTTGATTTAAAATAAGAGATAATCATCCTAATTGAAGTAATTTTCCTGAAAACTAAATCGTGTTCTGATCTTTTCTCTGAAACGTTTAAAAATGTACATTAATTTATTTTCCAAATTTTGAATTGCAGTAAAACCATGGCGTGGGTATGTTTGTTGTTGTTTCTCTCTGTATTTTTTTGACTGGTTATATAAGAGAAATTTATCTAGCTCGATTCACATTTATCTTTGTTGTTTTAAAAATATAGTTTTATTGCATAGGCCACGTACAGGTTTCACATTACAATAGAATTGGGTTCTATTTTTTAATAACAATATGTACTTCTCCACTGTGTTGGAAATTTTGAATCAACAGCTCACCTATGCTTGATTACTTCACTAGAAGTGCCTAGTTGACATTTACTCCTTTTACGTCTTGACTTGATATTATCATGAAGGATTCTGATACAATTGATGTTCATGCCATTATTTCTTTATACTACAGATGGATTTTTGCAAGTATACAAAAAGAAATTGTACTTTACGTGATTGGAAAAACATAATATGATCCACTTGGTTGTGATATAAAAAAAACAACATAACCTTGTCGATTATCCTCATCAAATCAATGAGTTGTATGGTGATGGTCTGATGGAGGGAAGTGGGGCATATAGATGAGTTTATGGAGCGTGGTGGGATCCACTCGTTCCATCACCGTCCAACTTGTTGATGAGATGGTCATAACATGGGTCCGATCCGGATGTTAATATGACCATATGGATCATATAACACGGTCATTACATAGTGGGCCTCTAATCTCTACCAGCAGATTTAGTAGCCTTGAGCATTAATTGTTATGGAAGACATCATCATCAGAGCCTTTTCTTAACTATTTGGGGTCAGCTGCACGAATCTTGGTTTCGCCATTCTGATCTATCAAGGGGCATAATCCTAAGTGAGGCCATAAGTCCCCCTATCTTTTCTCACTACTTTCAACCATATTCTTTTGACCCTTACCCTTTTTGAGCCTTCTACTTGAACCAATTGCTGCAGAGATATTTTCTTGTAATTTCTGGCTTTTGAAACTCCTCGACCATTCACTAGCAATATGGTTTACATTTTTCAATTTTTTTAATGAGGAAATAATCTTTTATCTAGTGTAGTGCTGGAGTTTCTTTAGTCTTGGAACCCCAATAACAACAAGTATGACCAGTTTGTTTCTCTATTTCCCATGTTATTATTGAGAAACTGTTGGATCTCTCATCTCATAGTGTGTATCATCTTTCACTAGCTAACAATGTTTTTGGCCTTGATGTCAAACTTGCCTTGTTTGATTTTTGACATGTTATATAGTAAATACATATGAAAGATTCAATTGTTCCCATTTTTACGTTTCAAATGATTTATGTTGCTATTTTAAATGTTCAGGCCTTTCATTGAGGTCACAGGAACTCACTGCTATATTTCTATCGGCAAGATTATTCTGCAGCGTTTTCTTGGAACATGACATTCATACTGTTCTTGATACTGCTACTCTGATCGCTACTCTTTGGGTTGTCTATATGATACGATACAAGTTGAACACAACCTACAACAGGGAACTGGACAACTTGCCAATACATTATATGGTATGAGTTCTTTATGATGTATTCAGTTGAGAGGTCAATGCGTGTTGTCAAATTGTGTTGGCATTATTCAGTGAATCACCACTCATCTACTTCAGATATCTCATTATTTTTCTGTTAAATGTGCTGCCCTCTATTTTCAATTCTAATTCAATCAGTTCACCGAAAAACTATGCAAAGAGCATAGTAGGAGAATGCAACTTGCACCAACGTTTAAGATGAGTTTGGAACAAGCATCTTTAATGACTGTATGTGTTGATGAACTAATTGTCTATTACCTTTAGGAGATGCTGCAAATATCTCTGTGAACTTATTCTCTTTTGGTAAGGTTGTGTTTTGAGCCAAAACCTGTTTGTTGAGACAGAGTGCTCCATATGCCTAATGATTTATTCTAAAGGTATTATTATTTTGCCATTTTGTTCCAATGGAATAATTAGGTTTGATTCGCGGTACACAAACAATAATATCTGAAACTATCATAGTTCCCTCGAGCAAATCTTGAATCATAGTAATTCACGTCTTAGGAAGTGAAGCTAGAATTGGAGCCATTCAAGCTGACTGGTTCATGATATCATTACATCATATGAGCTGCATAAATGTCCCATAATGTGTGATGCGTGTTTTTTTTTCTCTACAAGTATCCTATTTCAGTTCTTACCATGTGCATAGTAGTTCTCAATATTTCATTGGTTTCTTCTATAGGTCCTGGATTTGTTTTTTGAAAAATTAGGTTGAATCAGCAGATCATAGCTAATAACAGTTTCATACGGTCGCACCATAGGATGTGAAGCTAGAATTGGGGCCGTTTGAGCTCTGTCGTTCATGATGTTCATATACTATATGAGCTTCAGAAATGTGCCATCATGTGTGATCAATGTCATCAGAACAGGACCGGTGCTTCAACCAATGAAGGGGTTGTTCCAATCAAAACCAGTCCAAATGGCGGTCAAACCGGTTGAACCTTTTCTTCAACATAAAAGAATTATAAAATGTACTAAAATTTCAAATTTATTTAAAACTAGAAAAACATAAGGTAACCAATGAAAAAGTAGTAAAAAATAAGAAATTGTTTTAAAAATTGTTCTAAAAATTCTAACTAACTTAAATAATTAAATGTTGCATATTAAATTTGAGTCAACTACCATGATAAACATTGCTAAATAATTAAATCTTATATTTTATTTAAGTAAACATTACATTTTATATAATGAATGTTAGATAATTAAACATATTTTGCTTGATTTTTACGTGGTCAAGCTATTTGACCTTCTATTTCTTGAAAGAAGAAAGCAAGATATAGTTTCTTTTTTATCACGGTTTTTAGGTGCAAGCTTTGGCAACAAAAAATTTCCATGTAATCAAGATGAAGAAAAAAAATGGAAAGAAAGAATAAAATCTGGTAAAAAATGGGGCAATAAATTTGAAAGCAATAGAATTTAAGTTTAACTTTCTAAACTTGGTGGTCCAATTGAACTGGCAAAACCGGTGATTGAACTGGTTCAACCAGTCAAATGCGGTTTTGACCAGTTCTGTGTAATTCCCGGTGTAATGCTTGCATTGAACTGGACAAGTTTCTGGTAGTTCGGTCCAGTTTTAATAACTGTGTGTGTGATGCTATGTCTTTTTGTTGATGAGTCTCATGCTTCTGTTCTTACCATTCTTCATGGTGTATTTGATATTTTGTTGTACGTGTATTATTCAGTTCTGTAGAAACTTGAGTAGACCACATGGACATTCTGCTGCTATATTCATAATGCTTATGCTTGCAGGTCGCTGCTTGCGCATTGCTTGCTTTGTTCATCAAGCCTTATACTATACATTACGTCCTCGACAGGTTTCTTTGGGCATTTTGTGTATATCTGGAATCTGTCTCAGTGTTGCCCCAGCTTCACATGATGCAGAAAGCAAAGGTTTATTTGCAATGGGTCTGCTTTTTGTTTGAGTTCTTAACATTGCTACCATCATCTAACATTTCCTTTGAATGTTGAATTGCTTTCTCTCAGATGGTTGAACCATTTACTGCTCACTATGTATTTGCATTGGGTGTTGCAAGATTTTTTGGCTGTGCTCATTGGATCTTTCAGGTAGTACAAGAAATATTTCTGTATTTAATTTACTGAGTTTGTTGAAAATTTGCCTTCTTTTGGCCAAGATAAAAATATATCTTTATCTGGTGACTGCAAATGCTTAATGCATTCAACCATCTTACATTTCTTTCTCTCTAGAAATCTGAATGCGAGATGCCATGCATTCTTTATCATGAAATAAAAGAAAAATATCACTCGGACATGGTGTACAACACCTTTGAAAATATAGGCTTGCTGATAATTTACACATATAAACTTGATGCTGAAGAACTCGTATGGTTGGAATATTTTTCATAGATTTACAAGTTTGGATGTAAATTAAATGATTTCCTCCAATCATCCTCCACGTGGTTGGAGGACGCTGTGGGATTTTTGAAAGGAAAACAGGTCTTTCCTACAATGAATGAGCACCTTTCCTGGTTAATGTGGATCATTTCTGTGAAGTGTGAAAATGTTAAATTTCCTTTCATATTGTTTTTTATATAACATTTCATTTAGTAAAATTATGGGTCTAAATCTCTTCTATGACCATATTAAGTGGGGTATTTCTTTGCAAATTTGTGCTTAATTTTATATGTGGCAATTCTACGAAGACCTCTTTGCTACTTGGGGGAAAAACAGCACAGTATGCGGTCAGACACAGAAAAAAAAAAAAAACTCTACTTCTGATCAATTGACATTTCGTTTCAAGTTTGGAGTCTTTTTTGAAGAATGACACTCAGTTTCTTATGTGTATTGCTTTCCCACGAAAGCAAGGGCTTGGTGCTTCAAACTAACAATATGTTACATCAGTCAGTGTAGAATTTAGTGATGCCAGTTTGATAGGTTCACATTACAACTAATCACTGCCTTGTAATTCGATGCATCACCATTTGCTCACTTACGTTAACCTTCCCCCTGACAGGGCTGTAATGTCTAGTAGCATTTCTGCTGCAGTCCTTCTTTGCACAAAAACTTCAGGGCCGGCATTCAGGCCTTCAGAGGTGTTTTTCAGCCTAGTTTGCTGGCATTTAGGGCTGGCATGATGTTTCTATGATATGAGTTTGCATCAGTTTCATTTTCTATATTTTCCAACTGTGGGTATTTATTTCATTCCTCCATTAATGGGGCAGGCTCATGTTGTTCTGAAACCTTTTCCTAGTTTTGTTATTTTGCACTCACTTTCTAATAACCGGGTGCCTTTTGACCGCCCAGAGTGTGGTTTGCGCACCATAACATTTTTTGTTTCCTTTTGGAGACTTATGGGACAAAGAAGCTTTTGGCAGCCTATGGGTAAATTTATTTGTTCAAAGTTCATTTGAAATACATGAAGCAGCACGCACTTGGTACCCATTTGAGATAAAATCAACTAAATCTGGAAGGGGGTGTTAGAGATCTTGTATATGGTTATTGATAGTGTCAAATGGGTGATGGTACCATGTTGAAATTATATTCCTGCATATCTGGACAGTACTTTTAAGATTTAGTCTTTTATGGCCACGAATGTTCATTGATTTTGGTGAGGGGACTCTAGGCAAATGTCATATCGCTTGTTGATTTATTTCATGTTGCAGAGATTTTTTATGACTCATTGAGAAAGTTTATCCTCAAACTCTACTTGCCATTAGTCATTGCTAGAAATAACAAGGGTAAACACAGCTTTGGATTTTCATTATGGAAGGTTGAAGCATCACTTGTTTGTGTTGCATTCTTATCATTATAGTGGTGTCTTACACTCCACACCTTACCTCATCTCTTTGCTACTACTAGATCCAACAAAGAAATTTTTTTCCATTGATCATGCAATGATTCAAAAGATGTCAAAGAATATGACTCTAGAAACTTATTTGGTAATTCCTAACCAAACCAAATGAAAAGATAATCTTTAAACGGAGACCTGACATTTGATGGTGCTGGTGTACTCAAACTAGCACCTTCACTAGTCTACGCACAATTATCTAGTTAACAATCCATTCTCAGTGTTTGATGCTGGTGCCTTGTGTTTACACTTGCAATACTTATCTACGGAAATACACTACTGAGTTGCATTGGCAGTTTGCAGCTTAACAAGTACAGTTCAATAGAAAAATATCTTCTGTATCTTATAGTGGGTATGGGCACAGTCCAATTATCCTTCTGCTGATTGCAGGTGATAGCGACAGGGGGCAGGTATATTTTTCTCATTGGAAGTGGCTACTTCTGGCCCCCGATGGTTCTCTTGGCCGAGGTTGTTCAGACCTTCATTTTGGCAGACTTTTGTTATTACTATGTCAAGAGGTAATGTCTTCTCAAATTTGTGATTGAGAACGAGTAGATAAATCACATTCTTGGGACTTTCTTAGCCAGATATTTCCTTGGGAGATTTTCAAAATATTGTGTTCTCTTTTCTTGAATTATTAGGGATATTAGGGGATTTTAAAAGAGGAACTTGACAAAATTGAAAAATCCAAAAAATTGGAGATAATTGAGTAGGAAATGAATTTTGAATTTTGTTATTACCTAAACAAAGATGAGTGATGCTCTCTCGTCCTCTCATATCGCATGATAATGGTTTTATTAAAAATAATTTTTTGTTGTTCCGAGTAAAAGATGATTAACATCTAAATTTCCCTCCATTAATTTAGTTTAATTTTTTTAGTTAAAGATTTCTCAATCTCTTGCTGCATACCATTGAGACTGAAGGGGAGGTTCTATAGGATGTCTGCAAGACCAGCCATGTTTTATAGGATGGAATGTTGGGTGATCAAGAAACAACACATAGGATGAGCATAGCTGAGATGATGATGTTGAGATGGATGAGTGGCAAGACAATAAAGATATATTTTAAAATGAATACATACGAGGGAACTTAGGTGTGACTTCAATGAGCAATAAGATTAGATAAAGGAGACTTAGGTGGGCTGGCAATATCCAATGTAGACCTAATACGATACCGGTCAGGACATGTGACGTGATTCAAGTGGAAGGCTCTAAAAGGGCAAGAAAAAAGCCCAAAAGGATATGAATAAAAGTAGTAAGAAAATATATGGTGATTTTTGGTCTTACTGAGGGTATGACCCTTGATAAAGAAAAAAGGAGGAATAAAAATCATGTAGCCGACTTCAAATAATTGAAATAACGTTTGAATGACGATGATGATGGTGATAATGATTTCTCAATCTCTTTTTTTTTTCTCTATGCCCCTTACTAATCTCATAAAGCCCTTTTTATCTCACATGTTCTATTAGCTTACTCTTTCCCTAATCAAAATAAAAGGAAAAAAGACGTTCTCCTACTATAAGTCGGTGAAAAGTAGAAAATTTCTTACTTCGTACTCAACAACCAATATTATTTCACATTTCTTCCAATTCTGTGTATTTTCCTTAATAACTGATGTTACTTGGCTCTCTCCCTTTAAAATTGGGGTGGAAACTTACTTCCAACCAGTGTAGGAACACACGACCTAGGAGCGGAACCTGGCCCTAGATCGGGCCGGCTAACCCGTCTAGGCTAAAAAATGGTTAAAAAAATAAAACAAATGCAAGAAAATCCCAAAAATATGACAATTATGTTTAAAGTAAAATTAAACAAAATACATCTAAATGAGGTTAAAAAAGTAGTGACAAATAGATTTTGTAAAATCAATTTGGGACCAGGAGTAATTTAGAAATAATTAAAAAAAGAAGGAAAAATGTAAAAATAAGTATTCATGACCAAAACACTTACCAATCTTTGCCACCATGTTAGAAAACATAAAAGACCACGTGACACATTAATTTCTTTTTTTTTGAATTATTAATAATTTTTGTATTTGGTTTTAAATCCTTGGCTTGACCACCAAAACCAGTTCACCCTGTGGGTGGGTCTAGGTCAACCCAGCCGGTTTTGCGAACGGTGCATTCAATGACCTTTCGGCTTTGGCCTAGTGTCAAGATGTATGGTTTGCATGAGGGAGGTCAAAGGTATTATTTATTTTTTGATTGGCACGGGGGTGGGTCAAAGGTCGACCCCTCTCGGGACCCTGGATTGGCGGGACCAGCACTGAGTTATGGCCCTTAATCAAACCAAAGTAGATTTGGTTTTCTTTTTGTCAATTGGGCTTCGCTATGGTGGTAAGGAGGGTACTCTTTTGTGTTCCTTGGGCTTTGGGCATGGTATGATGGTAAGGCATTTATTTTTTTCGTCTAATGTTGAGCCACCACTAGGCTATTAGTCAAGCTCTAAGGCACCAATTTGCCCCATAGGTTTTGGTCTAGTGGTGAGGCATTAAATTTGCATGGTCTAATGGCAAAATATCTAATGAGACATAACGGTTTTAGTCTAATGGTGAGGCATCTCAGTGTCTTATGTGAGCGTTGCATACCAATGAAATAGGAGGGAAAGTTCTATAGGATGGTTATTAAGACCAGCTATGCTTTGTGGAATGTTGGGCAGTTAAGAAACAATATATATATAGAATGAGTGTAGTTGAGATAAAGATGTTGACATAGATGAGTGACAAGACAAGAAAAGATAGAATTCAAAATGTATGCATCCGAACGAATTCAGGTGTGGCTCTAACAGGTGTGGCGCCAATAGGCGATAAGATGAAGGAAAATAGATTTAGGTGGTCTGGTCATCTGTAGCATTGATCTAGAACATCGGTTAGTAGGGGCGATTTGGTTGAACTGGAAGACTCTAATAGGGCAAAGGGAAGACCCATAACGACATGAATAGAAGTAGTGAATAAGGTTCAGATGATGATGATGATGGTGACGCACCATTAGGCTTTTGGTCAAATGAAAGACATCCTTTTTCTCCATTAGGCTTTTGGTTTAAGGCTTCGAGTTTGCATGGTGTAGTGGCAAGCTATCTCCTTTGCATAAGGAAGGTCAAGAGTTAGACAACTAAGTTTGGCCATTACCAAACCATGTAGATGAAAAACCTTCCATTATAGATTTTCTTGGGAAATGTCTTGTTGAAAAATGTGGGGTCTTACCAACGTAGAGATAATGCCTGTATTTATGTAATTGTCATATATATCATTCTTCACCTCTAAAGTCATGGTTTTCTATCTAACTCCCATAAGAAGTTCTTTTAAAAAACATTTCCAGTATTTCTTGTGACTGACATTTTATAAAATTATGAATCAGTTTTTTCATTTGTGTTTTTGTGTGTGTTTACCTCAACGGATTAGGCGCAAATATGTCTTTTCATGATAAAAGAGAATGATCCTATAGAAAAACTGCGTACATGTTGTGCCTTGCAACTTATCCTAGATAACCAATATTTAAAATCAAGATATATCAGGATTATTTATATATAAAAAAGGGTATGTCATTAGTAAAACCGGAGATATGTGGTCATGAGGGTCATCAACATTGATCAACGGTTGAATGGTGATGGATATGGATTGGAGTAACCCAATTTCAAAATATGATTAGGTTTTCGTCATGTAACTGACCTAGGCAAACAGCATTGAACAGTTTTATGGGTTGTTTTTCATTAATTCAATGGAGTTTCATCAGTGTACAGATAAATCATAAGTGGCCTGCAAGTGGAGATTCTTTCGCGTGTAGGAAGCCTTTTGAAATCAGATACGTATTTTGTGGGAAAGCTTTAGATGAAGCCTAGTTTATGAAACAGGAAACGTCCTTGTTTCTCTCTCTTATCGTGTAAGACCTGGGGAACATTTTGTGGAGGTTCTTTTGATTTATTTATATCCTCTTGCCCGTTCCCCTATTTTCCAGCCCTCTGGTTTCTCTCTCTCTTCCTCCAGTACCACTCAGGTCTCTCCTTCAAAGGCACCTTCCCCTTCTTGAGTAGAGGCAGTGGAGAACATTTTAGGTTAGGAAAAGTTGAACTAGAAGAGAGAGAGAGAGAGAGATAGAGATTAAAAGTTGTCGAACTTATACTATTGAGCTAAGGCGTACTTCAAAAATTGATTATCTAGACCTAGAGATGTATAGACATGAAGGAACAAAAAAAAGAGAATTTCAAGTCACAAAAATAATGCATATTGTAACGCATTATATGGACTATCCATTTACAAAACTTTTAGCAATTTATAAATATGCTCAATTCTGCATTATTTTTAGAGCTTTAAATTTCATAATTAAAAGTGACAATAGATTTCTATGCCATTGCAAGGCTTTGCGGTAGTAACTCCATCTTGTGGCAGCACTTTAGACGCACTATAATAGGTTGCAAATTTTCTACATCCTTTTTTTGTTACTCATTTAATCTTCTTATTGTTACAGTTTATATTTTTCTCTCTAGTTTTTGTAGAACTATATACAGGAAGACCCTTTAATCTAAGGTCATAACGAGTGTTTTAAAAATCGGCGAGTCGAACCGGACTCGCCCGGTTCGACTCGAGAACCAGCACAGCCCGTGTCGGGTCCAATACAAAACCAGGAACCGTCCGGTTCTAGAGAAGAACGGCCGGTTCCAATCCAGTTCTGCGTTCTACCCGGTTCCCTCCCTGCACGCGTGCGACACGCACGTGGACGCGTGCGACACGCACGTGGACGCGTGCGACACGCACGTGGACGCATGCGAGACGTGTGAGGTTACCCCAATATTTATACAC